GGTCGTCGAAGCTCGATTTCTAACTTCGTCACCACCCTCGAGCACAGCGGTAGGTCGTAATGTGGAGTTTAGTGTGTTTCTTGGTCGATTTTTCTAATGTATCGACAAATTCTGAGCCTCGGCTTCTTGGAGGTCTGTTTATTAATCGCGGGCGCTAGCGGTACCCTCAGAGCTCTCGCGCACGTAACGCGTCAGCTGCGGGGGCACAAGCACACGGGCGTGTTTGCCGGCATCCTATAATACGACAATCAGCGAACATGAACGGATGCACTGGGCGACGAGCGACCACGGGGATTCGTGTTCTCTGTCTTGGGGGGATCGGAATCTACGGGTCCTGTGGAAGTCTACATAGTCAAACACTGAAGTGTGGAGGTCTACAGAGTCTAATATCGAAGGGAAGCGCGGCTGGAGAAAAGGTTGAGATCGCCTCCGGTGGTATGACCCCAGCTGGTATATATTGTCAGACATGCACATACCAAAATAAATAAAATAAAAAAATACCAGAAGGTGTACCGTAAGAGTCGGAGAGATGGCACCCCCGTGTTGGCGTTTTTTTGTAGCGTATTTCTCCACAACTAGGAGGGTGCGAACACCAACCGATACCTCTGCGGAAAGCCCTCGACGAGATGTTTCCAAAACTACCCTTTTCGGCAGTGGTACCCCCCTGGTTGTGGAGAAATACGCTATAGAAAAACGCTAACACGGGGGTGCCATCTCTCCGACTCTTACGGTACACTGCTGGCGCCCAGCGCAGATGGGGCGGGAAGGATAAGGATAAGAACAAGAGAACAAGGAGGTGAAACACAACGGATGTTTAGTGCGCACTTCCTTCAGGGTGTTCACACGAACAACAAGTTCAAGGGGCTTTCTGCTATGTACATGGGAGCGGAACGCGGGAATATCAGCCGATATTTGAAACTCTCGGGCCTACTGTAGTCGCTACAACGTCTCCGAGGTGATACACCGTCTACCAGACCTGTGATGGTGTTTATTTGGCTCAAGTCCGAAATCCTTTTGTTGGCTTCACTGCCCTGTCGACCTTGGCTTATTTACCTTGCCTTCACCGACCCCTGCGGTACCACTCCGTACAATATACATCCTGTAGACAGGAGGCCCTTCTGGCCACAGGGAATCTCCAAAACCGAGTGGCCCAAAGCCTGAACCAAACCATAACGCATTAACGATACCAGGGCTTTTACGCGCATCACGCGCAGGAACGTGCCACCCAAGAAGTTATTGTTTCGCTCCGCGACGGTCGCTCCTTGTTTTCTTGTAGAAGCGAGCAGGAGCTAAACCGGCTTTTACGACGTGGTACTGCGGTATGCAACCAAGTATGAGTTCCAGTTCGAGGTGGCGTTACCGGAGGATGTCACGTTGAAAAGGCAAGCAAGAAGAGGAAGTACATTTTATCGCACCTAACACGATGCTGAAGGTTGCTTTTGTTGACCATGTTTCAGAGTCCAACGTATCGCGTACGGCGAGAGCCAGGCTAATTTGCTGCGCTGTAGTTCGGTTTGTAGGCAGCCAGGAGATAGGATGGCGGGTTCCAATATGTGCTTAATCAAAAGCCTCAAGTTCTCCATGACCAACTTCTTGAGTGCTGGCGCACCCTGTGCAAGATCTGCTGCATTAACATGTTATGCAAGGTTGCTGTAGGGGGTACTATCCCCTGCAGACCGCACCAGGTACCATTAGCGTTAACTCTGTTGCCGTGTGGTTGCATTCATGCAATACCCCGGCGAAAATCACTGCACTTCAACAGTAGGGCACCAAACACGAGGTCGCCGGGGCTGGCACCTACCGGACGTGTTTGCATGTCACCCCTGAACACAGCACACTCGTTCTGGTGGGCCCATGCATGCATACTGCCGTGGTTGAAAGCATGCAACGGACGCCAGCATGCGGCCCTGCTGCCTAATATGTTCATAGTCTACAGGGAAGGATTAGGATTTCAAAATCTGGTTTCAAAAACATTGCGGGCCCGTGGATACTTGGGTCGTCAAACACGGCACGACTTCCAATCGTGAAAGGGATGTTGCAGGCAATCATCGTTACCATTGGTGACCTGGACACCATCGTACTCCACAGAAGAGGCTGCAGCAGGCACATCCGGTTGACAACGCGGCACGCCCGGAGGTCCATGGCATGCAACACTGCTGCTGCAGACTAGGCATATGTCTACTGCTGTTTACATACATGACGAAGAAACTCGTGATGTTGCGGGAAATATCATACCTCCTGCTGATATGGCCTGAATTTCTCATGCCCCCAATTGGTTTTCAAGCATCGCTGAAGATCATTAGCCATGGCTGGCGCCGGTCTGGTATGCCTCAAGGTCTCACAGCGCGCACTGCTGTGCTGTGCTGTGATCCTGATCCTTCGTCTTGAAGCGCCGCGGTATCATCCGAGACCGGTGCACGGGTGGGTGGGTACATATTGACGCCGATGGGCGCGCCCCCCGGTCGGGGACGCCAAGAGGGCACGTGGATTCAAGTACGTGATGCACACACACACACACCCTCCCCCCCCCCCCATTTTTCAGGCGCTTGATCCAGTTCGGTCAAGGCGTCTATTGTATAGGACTAAAAATAGTCATAGGTAAATAAAATACATATCACAATGTATAGGCTTTGTAGTGTTACATTACAAAACTCATACAATAGAGAGATGAATAAGACCACACCAAATCCTAGACCTTTCTTTGTAGCCCCTTTTAGCAGCAGCAACCAATCAATGTGGTCCTCCTGCAACAGCAAGGAAGGGTATCAGCAAGCAAGCACCCTGTCTGCTGTTCCAAGAGAAGACAGGGTTCACAGCAGCAGCAGCATCATGTATAGGCTTCATTTACTACACACAGCAGCAGTCTAAACCAACTTCAAGAAGTAAGTAAGACAGGTGTAAGGTTTCGAATAGCCATATGCATGCATACTAAATGCTATACAATAGAACATGTATAGGTTATACTATACCACACTATTTCCTACATATATCTATGTATACCGTATCTAACATACCCCCCCCCTCCCCCTGATCTGGTCCTTAATCCAGTTTTGGGGTGTGCATCACGGATGGATTTGAATCCACGTGCCCTCTTGGGGACGCCAAGGGACGCTACAAATAAAGACCAGACCGTCTGTCAGACCAGACAGCGTCGTCCCCGTCTGCCGTAGCGTTGGCGCGGCCAAACGGGTGGCCCGCACAAATGTCGGTAAGCACCACACGCATTTTGCCGAGCCCTTTCTCGCCCAAGTGTACAGTGCTGAAACGTCTCGCCCCACACACACACGTTGAATGATTCCTTTTCCAACTGAAAAGATCGGTCGGGATAAATTATTGAGAGAGGTACAGCAGTAACTTGATCCAAAGCTGTGGGGAGCAAGCATTTTTTTCTGCTTCCAGTGTGGCCGCCGGTTCTTCTTTTGCCGCCACTTTGCGGACGACTGACATAAATATGGTGTGGGGGATCCCCCCCCCCCCTACCGTTTAAAGAAATATATGGGGAGGATATTTTGTAGGACCTGTACCACCGTTTGTGGACAAGGGGGGGATGGAAAAGCCAACGGCCTCACTTCGTCTCGCTGAACAAACACAAATGCGACAACAGTACTGACTCTCACTGTTAGGGGTAAGCCCCAGGCACAAACGCACAAAGTACCAAAGAGGCGTCGCCAAATAACCGGCTGTCTTGTGGAAAATGCTGTGAAGCAATCACTAATAGCGCACAGCAGTTGTCTGAATGAGAGTACCAAAACTTGGTCCACGAAAGCCCCCCCGGGTCGGGCGAACCGCCACCACCAGCTTTCGAGAAAAACCGACAAGGCACAACAGTTCCGGCACAGCCATTCGACATATTTGGGGGGGGAGGCGCGCGACCACTAGGGTGGGAGGGTATCAGAGAGGATCACGCGGCGAACCACTTTTGTCCTTAAGAACCCCGAACCGAGTGGCAGCTCGTTTCACCCACCGATTCCTTCGTGGTGGGCGTTGGCTTCGAAGATAGAATCAGCGGTACCCTCCCGGAACGGGTCCTGTGTCGCCCTCCACATTGCGGAACAGGTGATGGTACCTGGCGAATCGCCCCATCCACCCCACGAAATAACCACTAACAATGCTGTACAAATCGGTTTTCCTGCCCCAGAAAAAAGAGAGGCATTTCATATAAACGACGCAACAAACAACAAAAACGTCAACGCCACCCAACAAGAATAACCACGTTCGGCTTCACCCCAAGAACCACTACAAGCACAACCACCCATCTATGCGTTGCCAGCAGTCCGACAATCAAAATTCCACGAATACATGGCGCCGGTCCATCCACGCTAAATAACTGTTCGGCTTCATCCCCCCCCCTCTGATGTCCTTCGTTCCCCCCTCGGCAGGTACAGCTTCACCCCCGTCCCCCAGCCCCCGTCCTTTAAGCCACCACCGGCACCACCATCACCATCCGTGTCCCTCTTCATATTCACAACCTCCAGGTCCCCGCCGAACGAGCGCATCGTGTCCCTGGCGATGCCCAGGCCGAGGCCCGTCCCCGGAATGCCGCACTGTAACGGCTGCCTCCCTCTGTACCCGCGGTCGAAGATGTACGGCATGTCTTCTGCTTCGATGCCCGGGCCGTTGTCCACGACTTCTATAACAACGCCGCTGCGAAAACAGTAAGCGCGCAGGTGGAAGACATATAGTTGGGGTGTTGCCCAGCAGGTGTTCGAAAGGCCAGGCGGGGAAACGGAGCGAAAAACAAACTGATGATACACGCGGAAAAGTATTCCCTAAGCAAAGTGGAAAAGGTGATAGAGCTTGTTGCGTATTGCTGCGTAAGAACGGAGGCTCTAGAACCAGAATGCTGTTCCGCCAGGCACGGCCGGTCGTACGGGGTCAGTGCACGCCTGAAATATCGAAGTACACATCTTGAGCAGCTCCAACTCGTTCATGTCGCCTAGGATCAAAGCCACCATTGCAGAATTATCCCGCATAGAACACATGCACCGGGAGGACGGCCGCTGTTCAAACAAAAAACCTCGTGTGTCAGATACAGAAGAGATAGGCAACCACGAGCTACAATATAGTGAGACGTGACGGCGAAATGTTATGGTGTGCGCTGAAGCTACACAGGTTGCCAAATATATCACGTGCCCTGGACCGATTTTCAAAGCTCGATTACTCCACGACGAACAGGACGCACAAATCAAAGGATAGTTTTCGGAAAGCTCTCGACGAGACGGTCCCAACGCCGCCATTACCGGCACCGCCGCTGCCTTTTCCTGCCCAGTAATCGAGCTTCGAAAAACCGGTCCAGGGGGCGTGATATCTTACGTCATGCAACCTACGGTTCGCTACTGCCGTGCGACGCCCACCTCTCGGCTCCCCACTCGGGTTCCGCGCTCAGGCGGGCCCTCAAGACCACCGTCGCACGAACCCCGCCGTCCTTCCCGCCCTCGCCGCGCCCCATCTTGCAGAACTTTAGCGCGTTTTCCACGACGTTGGACAAGGCCTCCTGAAACCACAACGAACGAACGAACGCCGGCACGGCATCAGAGAGCACATCAACAGACAGACAAGCCAGACGTGGTGCACAACGCGCGCCGAAGGTTGACACCCCCCCCCGCGCGCGCCCAAAACGTGAGTACACCCTCCGGGCGAGCGCTTCGTGTGTCGAGGAGCCAATCAGGCAGAGAACAGGAGGACATCGAAGCAAGACGTCTACCCTCGAACCTGGGTGTCAGCTCAACAGTGTACGTGGAACGGCAAAAGAAGGGCAGTATGTCTAGCGAACGTTTCTTCATGCAACCGTTAACCAACAAATCCATACAACAATAAAACCTGGGATGTATCGTTGATGTCGGGCATCGTTGACAATCGCACAACGGCCAGGTGCATTGTTGAGTATTGTCGGTCTCGGCAACATGCGGTCTAATGGTCGACAGACTGTTGCAGTGGGGCAGGGTGCTGTTCATGGCGGAAAGCTTCGTATAAAACTGAGAGGGGATTACACGAAAGGCGACATACTGACGATATTTTCATGATTGATTCGAACGTTGATATAAAGGATCGGTGATGTCAAGCATCATTCATGTTGGGCATCGTTGACGTCAAGTATCGTTGGTCTCGATCATCGTCGACGTCGAGGCCAGGAAAGAAACACAAAAAGAAAAATAATGTTTGTTTTGAAAAAAATATATATACATATGAAGTATGTTCTCAAACGAAAGCATTTGGACAGACAGCGAACAGCCAATCGACAAGAACACTACATAGGAAGTTCTGAATCAAGGACAAAGGTCTGTCATACAACGTCCAAGCTCCAAGCTCCACAGGGTGCTATGTACACAAGATTGACGATACAATAAGAGCGGCGGTACTGCAGCAGCAGTGCCGTCCGTACCTCCAAGGCCCGCTCGTCGCCAACGACTTCGGGAAGATCTTGGTCCACCCGCCACCTGAAGCCGACCCGCCTGCGACATGAAACCAAGACAGTGTCACCGAGGAAAGCAACGCTCCATAGTTATACCGAAGAAATGCAGAGGCGTGTAGGGCAGCATGAAGAAACAAACCCTACGTGGTCGAGGAGAGCAACGCTCGCTACGTGTCGAAGAGGGGCAAAGCATGCAGTCTAAGCGCCGCATCAATAAGCACACTCGTCGCGGTGCCCGTCCACGGCAGGTTTGTAACCGACTTACAGACACGGCGAGCGTCGGTGCTCCCACTAAATGACCGAAAAGAGCTCGGTTGTTTCATCTCGGCCAAACGTTTCCACGGGCATTCGACAGGGTAACGGGGGTACACAACAAATATTAATATTCGCAGCACACAGGGAACACTCGCTTACGCAGTGCAGACCATGGAAGCACGCAGCCGCCGGTAGGGCAGGGAAACACGCCAGCCGGAAGGATACAGATAGTGCCCACTTGATGAAACCTCTAGTTTTGGTCGAGGCTGGGGTTCTAGTTCCTGTAGGGATAGGGGTGCCATGGTTCTTAGTGTATGGGTTCTTAATCGGGGTCACAAATCGTGCTCAAGTTCATATGTTTTGATGCAATAGTGAGCATTGTGGGTGGTTAACTGCCAAGTCATTCAAGTGCGGGCGCTAGCTGTACAATAACAAACTCACACCCGATGTGTAACCGCAGCCACGATCGCGCGACGAACACAACAACGTAGTAGTGCAGCGTGACCCGCACAAAGCATGGCAGGGGCGCGTACCGCGCCATCAGTGGCACACGTACGTGCAATCATGAGACGTAATGCACGGAGGGTACGGACGAAATTCCCACACCCGATACCTTGCGAACGGGGAGGACACCCGAGTTGGACGTGGGACAGGGCCCTGGTAAGATTTTACATAATCCGAAATTGGCACCTGGTAAGATGTAGGCCGGATAACCTTGTTTGCACCCCTGGGGGCTGGCTCCCTAGCACCTCTACGAAAGGTACCATCACCACCACCACCACACCGCTGTTCCGGTTGCTTCTAGCTGCCTTTTGACATTCCGCCGCACCTTTCCTTGGCGGCCGCTTGCGCCGCCCTAGTAACCGGCTGGATCACGTCTTCCACGGAGAGAAGCCCGAACGGCATCATCTCGTACGCCACCGTTTCCTCCATCCCGGTCGGGGCTGGTGGCGACAGCAGAGCGTCCTGCACCCCTGCCGCGGACAAAACGCGACAACAGCCCGAGCGGGAACACGGACTTTCACCACTCCGGTACGTCGTCGCGGAAAACTGAACAACACGCGAGCCCTTACGAATATTTTCCAAGATACAGGCGGAACGTGTTGCTGTTGAACCCCTCCCCCAATGCACAGGACAAAACTAGGTGCTAAGGCACAGTGGGAGACCTCCACTGCAAATCCTGTGTTGCCGTTACACCCATACCGTCGACGGTGCTATCCACCGCGGAAGATGCTGCTGCTGCTGCTGCTGCTGCGGCGGCGGCGGCGGCGGAAGTGGATGCGACATCCTCCCTCTGGGCCGCATGTGGGTCCACCATGCCTGGCATCTGCGCCTCTCGCTCTCGTTCAACGGCCGTGGCTAGCAGGCCGAGCACCGCGTCTACTGGCAGAAGAATGTCCACGAGGCGGTCAGACTGGCCTCCATCAAAGCACAGAGAAAAAAGAGATGGGGCAGGCGTTTGGATGATGAAAACGCAATGTACCAGGAAACAGGAACACACCGTACACGCTCACGAGGAATGCAAACCACAAGCACCTACAATGCTGCCCACAGGGCTCAAACGTTTGAAACTTATTTTTGTGTGACACGTGATACTGCCATCTCGGCGCTTGATTTCATGCTGGAATCGCAACAACTTCAGCTAGAGTGTACACCATCGCAACACCAAGTGTTGCACAGGCAGAGATAGACAGCAACTGTAGCGAAAGCCCCCACACTCGCCCCCATATGATACCTGCAGAATAATGTCCTTCGCCAGCTCTCGATTAAGCGTGTCATCCTGCGGCAGCCTTCTGAGCAGCAACTTGCCGAACGTCCTCAACGCCGTCATGGGATTCTTCACCTGGTGCCACACGGTAAAGTGCGCTTGTCATCGACGAACATGAATCTGACAGAACACTCACGTGTGGCGGGATGAACCTCTCGCTGTTTCTCTGTAAGCTGTGACAAATGGTAAGGCAACCAAGGGTGCCAACTTATTGTCTTGGGATACCCGCAGCAGCAGCACCACCGATATGACAGCAACGCCTGCGGAGACGGTATTCCTAGCTGACAACGAAAGCGCAGAGGCCAAGAGTCGTCCCAGATGAAGCTAAAAAAGGAATGTATGGGTAGCGCACGCATGTACACAACCAACTCGGGCGACGCATGCCGTGCTTCCCACCGTCTACAGATCAGGGTCGGGCCACACGCCATGGAGGGCACGGGGCGGCGCAGGTTGGCTCACCTGGTGGAGAGACTCCGCCACAACCTTTCTCAGCGGCTCGACTTGCATCACAGCCGCCCACCTCTGCTTCTGGTCGAGGACAGCAGCCACCCCCACCGACCTGGCAATTGTTTCCAGCAGCCTTTTGTCCTGGGACAGCACCGTCGAATGTGACACACAAATAACCGAGCATGATTGAAGACTACTGCTGTCTCTTAGCGATCTTGGAACTTTACCGCAGGCGCACGCATGCGGCGATAAAGGGCGTGTCCGTGTCATCGATTGTACTCTCGACGTGCAGTGGGCACTACTTGCGAGACCGATGCCTCGAGTGGAACCCTAAAACGATTGACGGCAACCATCCACGGCGCGGACCTTTATTTGTAGAAGCGCTACAACAATAGATACAATGTTCACGAAATTGCAATGCCCCATGAGCTTCTTGAAGCTTTAGGCTACACCTGTTGCAAGAGCAGCAAGCAGACAACCGAGTTAACCCCCTATATTCCAAACGACGCGATTGCATGCACAGATCAAAGACAACAATCATGGAGAGCTTGATTCAAAACGTCTGCCTTTAAAATCCTCATCCACACACTCACTCACCCGCTCGCCCCACAAAACTCGAGCATTTTCGATGTCCCTCGGGGCAGCGTTCTCCCGTGCTGAAGGCGGCCTAGATTCACCGTCGCTGTTCCCATTCTTAATAACGGTAATCATTCCCAGCAGTAAAGAGGAATGCACGATGGGAGCGCTCAGGTCACCGTCGCCTCCCTCCACCGCATCGGGGGAGTCGGCATTCATCTCCTGCCCGGCGGCTGCCGGGAGCAACAGCTCGCTGCTAGCATGGTGCTCATGCATCTGGACACCGTCAATGTCCATGCTCCACGCAGGCGGCGGCCTCTCGGGATACTCCATGGCAGGAACAAACTCCAAGGAACCTGTGGTGTTCCGTCCAGCCGAGGTTGAGGGGTAGAGAGCCGACGAGGGGTAAGCAGGCCAACTTGAACATGCAGGGCAAGCGGGCCGTGTGACATCGGAACTTTTGTATAGGTACCATAGTCAAAATTCAATGTGAACGAAAGATTCAGCGAGTAACCGACGGTGTATCTCGAACCCGATCGCGAAACCCGCGATCGACAGGCACGAGTGTTGGTTGATTGCCATGAGCAAAGAAGGAGCATGAGTCGAATCATGGACGCTCACAGCGTGTAGTCTTCACCTGTTTCGGTGCTCTCTCTTCTCGCATACAGCACGACCCGATCCGCTCCCAGCACCGTGGCGAGCACCTCGAACTGAGCCTTGACCAGGCTCACGAACTCAGGCGACCCCACCATTGCCTCGCCGCTGGTGCTGGGCGGCCTTGCGTTTCGTTCTCCTGCCCACCCCGCACTGGACCAGGCGTCCTGCTGCTCAGGTTCCTCTTGCCCCTCGTTGACGTGGTGGGGCGGATCATCTATACTTGTAGCCCCACGCCGGTCGTGTGCGCCTGTCCTCGGGTCAGCAGCTGCTAGTCTGTACTGCCGCCCTCCTCCGCCAGCTCTTCTGGGACGTTGCAAGTCCGCTGCTGGTGTAGAGCACCGCATGCTTGTGACGAGTTGTGGAGCAATCCTGGTTACCGTTCCTGCTGTACCGAAGGCGACCATGCCGTTTGAATCCTTGCGGGCTACGACGAGAAGCAGGACATGTGTCACCAACAAAACCAAAGGTAATGTGCGCCGTCGCTCTCTCATAGTGTATGGATGGCGAGAACAGACAGGAAGGAGGCAGGGAGGTAGTGTGCAGACTGCAGTGCTATTAGTAGGTATTCCTGCTGGGGGAGGGGGAGGTGGGTGTACGTGGGTACTGCAGGTGCGGCGGGATTAGCAAGACTGTAGGAGGCCACGCAGAGTAGAACATCCACTACACACGCCAGCTCGCTCGCTTGCGCTGTCACACCACAGCTGTCGCTGGTCTCTGCTCTCTCTTGCGTGTTGCTGGGCTTCCCTCTTCCTCAAAGGTATGGCCAACGAATGTGTTGCGATCTTGAGAACTGAGGTTGACAGGGATAAGGAGGATGGTTATGCACGTAGCGAAACGAGTCGCAGCTGAACTGCCACGTGTGTACCTGCTTGCTGTCACAGCGGTAGCGAGCGCAGGAGACATTTTCCGAATTGAACGTTTGACCAAAAGTTGAAGTTTGGCAGCTGTGCGGAAGCTACTGCTTGGTTAATCGGAAGAAAAGCTCTGATCCATGCGTGAGAGAGCTTCGATGACCCCCCGGCTGTGTATCTATTCTGAAATCCAAACATTTTGTAGCGGAGTCTTTTTCGATTGTACCGCAACCAGACCTCCTTTTCCGCCCACAGCGCTACCCCGATGGCCCCTCGGAACATGACCCTCCCTACCGCTCGTTTCATTCTGGTCTCGAAAACATGCCGTTGACAGCTACAAACGCGTGACTTAGGCGCTGCAGGGGGAATTTGAACGACCGACTGAAAAGCGCGAAATAACCGAGAGAGCGTACACATAATGGCAGGCATGGTGGGCGCTTCGCCTCACTTGCCATCGGTCATGGCTGTGAGCGTTGACACCCTCTTTCTGGTGGTGATGATGTGCTCTCTTGTGGAGGTAAGGCGTATTTTATCTCTAGGGAGAATATTCTTGCTCGAAGTGTGTGTACAACGCCGTTACAGGCAGCAGGAGTGCTAGACTTGGATACGTGCAGCGCGACTAAACTGCTGTGGAGTCAATATACATAGCACCAAGGAATCAAACTCAAGTACAGCAGCAGTTGCTCCAAGGAATGAACTCAATCACCAAGCTTGTGCCTCGGGTGTTGCAGAGGTAGTTTTGTAGTTGTTCCAGGTACTGCTTGTGCAAGCGCTTGACGCGTCGCCGAGTCCAACACGCCGGGGAGTGACATACCGATATACTCCTTTTTGATCCTGGTAAATGGTAACGTGGAGGTGGCCATTCCGTTCCTCGACCGCCCGCAACGTTGCAAAGGCTGCATGAACCATGAGGATGTTTGTCTTGTGATTGCGTGCTTTTTGCAACCCTTGATCTCAACAAGCCGTTTGAGGGTGCTCACTCGAGACATTCCCTCTTTTGGTAACCATCTTGCGCTGAACACGCGTGCTTTGTGTTGGAACTCGGCGGAAAACTCTTGACGATAAGAGGTGGACAGCAGTGCAAAGGCCACGAGCACGAAGTCCCGAACCAGCCACACGCGAACCCGCTTGTCCCAGCACACGCGCTATTCATTCATTGCGTGTTGGTGGACGGATTGTTTTCTTACCGACTGCCGGTTGTCGCTTGCTCCAGGTGGTGGCTGGGTTCGTCATGTGGAAAACATCGAGGGTGACACGAACAGAGGCGGCTTTGATATCGCAACGCCAAACCCTGAGGACAGGAGTTGCCAAGGTGCGAGAACAAAATTTCTGCCGACCCTTGTTTTGGATCACGTTTGCCCTTGGCGTAGCCACTGGGACGCGGCGGGGCAGCGAGAGAACAGGACCGTCAATGAAGCACGGTGGTTTTTCCATATCACTTTGAGTGGTGTAGTGTCTCGCTGGGCTTTCTTTCGGGATCCAGAGCGTTGCTTGACTGTCCTCTCCTCTGACAGTTCTTTGATCAACCTTCCTCTCTCTTGTGTTTCTCGCCTCTCTGTCTCGCAGACAAACTACACGGCGACCTTCGTCGAGAATTCCAAGCTCAAACGCCTCTTGCTTAAGGCGGAGAAGGATCTCGAGAGGATTCAGTCTGCGAGGGACAGGAGGCTCAAGTCCGTGGCGAAAGCCGTGCGCGCTGTACGGGTGAGGCATGGTGTAGGATTCACGAGCGGGATTTCAGACTGCCGTTTTTCCTTTCCCGACACCATCCTTTCAAGCCTTCCAGGGCTGATTATACGCGTTCTGCAAGAAGCTTCTTGTTTCTTCAACCCTCGCATCGCTTTCGATCTCATAGATGGAACCGCTCGCTGCCCGTTCGTTGTTCACGTGCCTTCGCTATTGCGCCCCCCCCCCCCCCGGCCGGGGGGGGTGTATGGGTCCCTGGGGGGGGCCCTGTGGGGAACGGCCTTTAAATCTTTTTCCCCCGAATACC